TATATTTCTAAGACTGGGCCTTACCATGTTTTGTCTCTTTAAGGAATTATGAAATAATCATAGTTACCCAATTGTAGTTTTTGACAGTAAGTAACCATTTGGACTACATTCTGTCAGTGGATGGGCCCCTGGGTTCACAGCATTAACTGGAATACATGAAGCCCCCCAAGTGCTTAGATAAAATGGATTAGCATACCATTCCCTTGACCTACCTCTACAAGTGAGAAATACACAGTGTCTTACAACAAAAAGCATGCAATTCAGGTTCCACTTTTAGTTCGGATTATCCATGGCTGGAAGATACCTGCTCGAGTGGACCTTCATGTATAAGATCAGTATGGTAGACCGGAGTGTTGAGGAAAGCAAAACACTTTGCACATGGGAACATGTATCACCAGTGTGAACAACCAGCACTTTTATTGCATTAGAGAATGCTATAATGTCAGTAATAATTACTGACTACACAACATTTTATTGTCTGCATCAACAGACATGGAATGATGGAATTACAGTTGATGTAAGGAACGAGTTTCTTGTATGCCTCAAAAAAAGAAAGATTGAAAAATAAAAAGGGGAATCTTGTTACTGGCAGCACATACACATGAAGCACCATGCTAACAGTCTGGACTGTACCATTTTCATCAAGGCTTATGGGAAGGAGATAATTCTGTAACCTACTCTGGGCTAGTTCAAGATGGAGAACAGATCTGCAAATGTTAACTCTCCAAGACTAGAATGAGAAATTATTTCTGTAACACCTAAAACTTTCTCCAAATACATTAACCAAAAGGTACCAAAGGCTTTTCAAAAGAGTGTAACACACATTCTCCATGCTATAAGGAATGTAGCTCATCAGCATTCTGAAAACTACAATAGTTTAAAATTAGGTTCTTTAAGAACTTTGATATATTTATATATAAAATATCTAATGATCTGTATTATTTGTAGAATAATACCCCTCCCTCCCCTTCCCCATCACTTACTTCTCCTATCTTGATATCTAGTTATGGGTACTATGGTTGCATTCTCCAAAGGGGACTAAAAAGCCACCCCCCCCTTTAACACAAGTATCAACTTTCTCTTTCTTCCTACTTCTGATGAAGAAATCCAGTATGTTTTATGTTTCTGATGACATGTTCTGGCCTGATCCAGAGACGGGAACGCAGTTATGTGGGGATCTCTTCCACCACAGTTGCAAAAAGTTGTTTAGGGGGTAACCAGCACATTAATCCCTTAGGGGCTGCATACAGGGTATTGGTTTTTTTTGGGGGGGGGGAGGAGGAGCTGTGCAATTGAAGCACAGGGGGCTATGTGCCTGCTTCTCCATTTCTGGAGTCCACCTGTTGGAGAATACCCTTCCTCCTATATCACAGTAGCTTAACAGCAGCACTGCTTATTTATCTGGGAAGGGAAGGGGGCTCCACTAGGTCTGTAAAGCTGTGTATATTTTTGTGACACAGAGAGAGAGTGGATGAGAGGGATGGAGAGAGTGTGTGTGGGAGGAAGGGAGGCGTTGACTCTCATTCCTGACAACAGTTTACCTGATACATGGTACTACTTTTGTATTGTATGCTTTCCTTTGAGAAAAAAAGAAAAAAAAACATGTAACAAATTGTCTTTACATCTTGGCACCTTGTAAAGTATTTTTTTATACAAAAGTTCAATAATTTTGACACTCTCATTATTAATCACTACTTCACTGATAAACTTTGAAAGTGTGACCTCGGAATTCATCATGCAAAGTATTTACTGCAGGAGGAGGAAACATTTTTGAAACAACTTTTTTTTCCTTTTTCTTTAAGAGAGCCAGAAATAGGCAGTGGTAGGATAACAGAAGGGGGTGGGGGGTGAGGAAAGTATTTTTTTTAAAAAAACAATAACAGCATAAAACAACAACAACAAAAACCTGTACAAAAATCATTCGATCCATAAGGGGGAGAGGAATCATCTGTCAACTATGTTACATTTTAGATGCCAAAAGGGGGGGGGGGCTGGCAAAACCAAAACAAAGCATCCGGGATTTTCTCCCACATGTCAGCAAATGTCATCCAATAGTCTTAAAGCAAGGATAGCTAAATAAAATACATGTGCAGCATATTCTGCAATTCCATTACATACAGTAGGATTTTCCCCCAAAGCATTTTTAAAGAATAGTTAATATAAAGCAGTTGCACAGAAAGCAAAAGGTGGTTTGACAAACAGGTATGCATTTTTTCCTTTTGAGGAATCATTAATTTTTTTTAAAAAAGGACTTTCTCCTCCATCCTTCCTTCCCTTGCCACCCCACCCCCATCTCCCACCCACCAAAAAGACAAATGATCACAGAGACACATTTGGGCTATATATGTACAACATAATAAACCCCAACCCATAGGAGCAAATTTTTTTATATCCAAAGGGACACAGAATCAGAAATTTGTAAAAAATAGTGTTTGCTTGATGTAAAGCCTGAGATTTTTTTTCCTTCTCTTGGTTCTTTTGCAGGATAGTGATACCTGCATGGTATGGTAAGTCTAATTTTTTTATTTCCTTTTCTTTTTAATTATTTTGCTACAGTCTTTAGACTATGCATGCAAGACATACAACTAAGTGCAACTGAGTGAAATGTATTTTTTATTTTTTATTATTTACTCATTCCCTAACAGTTTGAACTGAGGTATGCGTACTAACAGTTTCTCATGCTGTTATCTTTACTCATGTCTAGCTACACATGCGGAGAATGAACTAATCTACCAGATTTTTATCCCCTTTTGAATACCAAGCTAACCAGCAAAACCACTCAGTTTTGAAGCACAGGGGATACCTTCTCGTGCTCCCATCTGGCTACCTCCTGCACGTCATGGAGCTGCCTGAATAAGGCTTGTTTCGATAATGTTTGAAGTGACTACAGACTGCCCTTCTCTAAATGGAACAAAAAAATCAGCAAAGGAAAAGAGGAAAAAAGTATTGAAGATTTTCATATAACAGTTCTAAACTGGATGTCATTCATTGTTGGCCTGATTTTAAGTAAAGCGATACAGGGACAGGGGTTTCATACAGCGAATTTCCTTCCGTTAATGACCTGCCTCTGAAGCACTATGGTCATTTCAAATAGTGCCATTTTTTCCCTGCCCCCTTTTGCCGCGTAATCTCCCTTGGAGCTTTAAAAAAAAAAACATTCTAAATTGAGCACTATAGAGCTAAACCAATATACCGCTTCAATGCTATAGTGGCACCCCTGAGATGCCTTGACTCCACTGAATCAGCGCTAAACCAATAGAACACTTCAGTGCTATAGCGGCACCACTGAGATGCCTTGACTCCACTGACTTCATTGACTCTATAGCGGCATCTCAATGGTGCCATGATAGCACTGAAGTGCTCTCTTGGTTTATCACTAGAGCACTCAATTTAGAATGGTAAAAAAGTCTGCGGAAGATCACACAGTGAAAAAGGGTGGTGGGAAAGTAGCATTTTAGGAAGCAAAAAAGGGTGGGGGGGAAGTGGCATTTTAGGAAGCGCTATGGACATTTTAAACAGCACACCACAGCGATTCAGAAGTGCAAAAAAGGGGTAGAAAATGGAAGAAAGCAGTTTCCCTCAAAAGCGGCTCAACCACGCTTTGTTAACTCGATGCAAGCGGGTTTGTATGAACAGATAAATAAATTCTGCTAGCAGCTGGTTACTAAAATGGGTCTGTCTAAAATGACAGAAAAAATCCATTAGCAACCAGTTACTAAAACTGAGTACAATGGCAGTTTGAAAATGGCCATTAAGACTTTAAATATTTAACTGTCAGCAAAGAACACAATCTGCATCCAGTTGGAATTTACTGACAACTATCCCACTGACTCAAATGGTATCAAGGCTTACAAGGGGACAGGAGTGTTATTCCACATTAAAGATGCTGACCAAAGGGGGAAAACAACAGTCACCATCACACTAAAATCTTGCGCTCATAAACCAAATTTAAAAAGAAATTCTCCTGGCAGTGGCTTTTAACAAAAGTGAATAGGATTACTAAAGGCCAACGACCAAATGAAAAGGATTAAATAATTTCATGAGATATTCTTAGATGGCCCAGTTTAAGTCATGGGAAGTCCTCCGTAGATTACAGAACTGTCTCCTCACCTTTCTCAGATACTCTAATTTTTCTGGAAAAGAACAACAGACTATTCTTTTTTTTTTCTTCCCCCAAGATGGAAAGCTGCCCTTGGATGCTCCCTCCACTTAATACTGTTCCCTAATTTTAGCCTCAAAAGCTCTCTCATTGCAGTAATTCATTTGGTCATGGTAAAGGAACACAAAAAAAACCCACAACTTTGGTTCAGCCATCTACTTGGTCTTTTAAATTATACCCTAATAATGGAGCAGTTTTTCCTTCTCAGGTTAGCCATAGCCCATATCTTGTCATTTGCTTCTAAATTCTTTCACCTCCTTTGATCAACAATAAGAGGATATTTGGCTTCATAAGATAAAGCATATAACAGAGAACATAATTTACCTTTGTGTAATATTCTTTGGTAATTTTAGGGGGGGAAGGGTACAAAGTAAGAGTATAAATTAAGATCTGAAAGGCTTTTGAAATAAAAAAAGCTATAGTCCAACATAAATAAGTGAGCTACAGAGAAGTGGTTGGAGGACAAGAAGTGTTTCGTGTCCAGTGATTAAGGGTACTGATGCTTTAACATCAGTTGTCGGCATGCATTTGCTCTGAAGAACACTGTTCCCTTGCAACAGAAGCCTCAGTGCCAATTCACCCACAGGTTTCCAATTGTTCATTTTTTTCCATACTGGTTGGTGTGCTATTGCATAACAATCTTAACTGCAGTAACAGAATTTGCCCAGTTAAAATTATTAACACTTTATGACTAGTTTTCTTGACTTCCCAACAAGTTTCCACCTGAAATCTAATCAATATCCAAAAGAAATGTATGCTACTTAGCAGTCCTTGAACTGTTTAACTTGGTTAAAAAAAAATCAAACACCATACACAATGCTCTACAATTCCTATTTGCAAGTGCAAACCATAATACATGTTTAGGTATGCAATATGGTCATTTTAGATATCCTAGATAGGTTTGATGGCCCAGAAACTCATGATATGAAAAGAATAGCCTGATGTTGCACAATTTATTATTGACAAAATAAACGGTTGGGTGCTGCATGTTCAGGATTTTTTTTTGTGCTGTTCCGTTTTGTAATATTTGTTAATAACCATCATTTCTGCAAAATAAAAACAACCTCCAAAACAATGACAACACATACTGCTTTGTGGAATAAATTTGCTCCACGTCCTACACAATTTCTCTGCTGGTTTGCCTTTCATTCTCACTCTTGCAGTACTGCCTTGCTTTCTGTTGGGAGATAACTTTGCACATGGATTAGAGCAGCGACACGAGAACCTTCTTTTTTTCTAAAGGGGGGGGGACATATCCCCAAATGGAATGTTTCCCATAGCTATCGAAAATGAAGGAAACTGGAATGAATGGCAGAAAAAAAAGAACTACAAACAATTCAAAGGACATTCAGCTTTGTATAATAAAAACACCTAATAAACATTCATCACAAAAGTACAGAAAACATTAAGCCTCAAAAGGCCCTGGCCCTCCTGAGGCCTGAGGTCAGAACTTAAAATGGTGTAGGAGAAGTGGGGGAGGAGGGGAATCAAAGCTATACACTACAAAGCTGGGGAGAATTTTCGTTTAACCCCTATTGTGTATACATACTCACATGTGCACATACATACGTGCACACACGCACACACGCAGACTCACTTCCCCATCCCAAATGGAAGCAAAACAAAAACAAACCCAAAGTAAAAGGCAGTGATAATCAACATGCGATTCTGTGCAAATATGTTGTCCATTGGAATCCTTAAAATCTGGGCAAAGGCTTGATCTGCAATTTATGTGTACATGCTCAGCTTGATGTCTTCAGTGTCCCAAACTGGAAGAACCGCAGTCCAAAGTCTGCTGCCAAATAGTCGAATCGGTTGAATAAATTTACAACACTGATGTTGACTGTGAGAGGGAATCCCAAGTACCAAACAAGTCCATCCAATGCACAGAGTACAAATTCCTTTTTTTTCTCAACAAAAAGTAGAAAAATCAAAAATATTCCCAAATGGGATACTTGATGGCACTAGGAGTTAACATATTTTATAGCTGTCAAAATGGACCGAGAGTATCCTCCAGACTGTACAATAAAGGGGAGAGATTTCACAGCTAATTTTGAAGTATGTGTTTTTTTTTCCTCCCTCCCCACAATCTTCATTCACAGGATCCCGACCACAGACACACTCATTCTATGTCCTCGTTTACATTTTCGTCGTCATAATCTCTGTCGTGATCACACTCTGGACTGTGATTGGCTGTGGTCACTAAAGATAGTGGTCCTTCATTTTCATCTGGATCTAATGGTTCTTCTTTAACATGCACAGGGTGCCTGTGAAAAATAGAAAAGAAAAAGAAACATGGGCTGGCTGCTAACTCCTCTCTTTAAAGCCCGTGGGTAGGAAAGAGCAATGAACAATTTGGAGAACATTCGGTTTTGTATAACAAAAACATTTACTAAGTTTGGGATCATAAAAACAGTTGATCTTTTTTGGTGGAGAAAGTGGGGTTTAATTTTTCAAGGTGTTATGAAAATCCAGAAAAGATCATTCCTTTAACTAATGAGGAAGATATCTGCCACCAGTACAATCAATCATAACAAAAGGAGAGATGATTATGAGGCTTGTGAAAACTTCCCTCCCCCTGTATTTTTCCACACAGTGGATCCTAGCTTGGCTGCAAAAGTAAAAAGAAAGCCCCACATGAATAGAAACACAGAGGTTCAGTGGAGCAAAAAAAAAAAAAAGTCCTTGCTTCTCTATGGTTTCTTCATAGGGCTTAGAGAAAATGCTCTCGAGTGACACATTAGCTTGATTAATACAATCTTCAGATAAATAAATGAAATAAGCATCTGTAAAGCAAAAACAGTGGTTTATCAGCCCGCTGAGCTTCTGGAGGCTGAGCTAATCATCAGTTGCTGTGTGTTCTGCTGCTCTAGTTAACATGCAGAACCTGTGAGGCAAGTCTCCAGAGGACGACCCCAAGTGAGGTTCTATCATTAATCAACTTCAAGCAAACACAGCAAAGAGACACCATGATACATGCTTTAAACTCCAAATTAATGCATATTTTTACAAACTGTCAATAAGGGAAGAAAAGCCCTGCCAGGAAACACAAACGGAGAGGAAAAGGCTCGCTCAACACAACAATATGATAAGAAAGCAGAGTCCTAATGAGAATAATAACACTGTCAGCTGTAAACAAGGCAGAACATGATCCTCAGCTCGTGGTGGGCACTAAGGATGCACTAAAGAGATGAGATCTGCCAAATTTCTCATTATAGAAGAGCACGTGAATAACCCACAGGGGAACAAGGGTTGATTATACAAAATGGGCATGATAACAATTGAAAAATGTTGTCCGTAAATCATATTCACAACAACCCCCTTTACAAATACAAATTACCCTTCCTTTCCTTTTGTTGTTATTTGGTAGCTTTTGATATGCAAAATACCCCTGCAAGTAAGTAGTGTCTTGTTAAGAGACTTTATGAAAGGAAGTTTGATTTTATTGGCAATATCATGAATACAGTAATAACACAACCCATCTGGGAAAATCTCTTTGGTTACTAAATAATCAAGATTGAATACAATCCCTTAAAATAAAGCATGGGGTCTATGTTTCCAAAATGGGATGTACATAGTCTGAATCACTGGACGCTGTAATGGGTGAAGTTTTACCCTTCCATTGGGTCACAGAAAGAAAGAAAGAAAGAAAGAAAGAAAGAAAGAAAGAAAGAAAGAAAGAAAGAAAGAAAGAAAGAAAGAAAGAAAGAAAGGAAGGGAAAGGAAAGGAAAGGAAAGGAAAGGAAAGGAAAGGAAAGGAAAGGAAAGGAAAGGGAAGGAAGGAAGGAAGGAAGGAAGGAAGGAAGGAAGGAAGGAAAGAAAGAAAGAAAGAAAGACCCAGCATTCAGTGTCTGAACTTTCACCTTAGTGGTTATAAATTTAGAGTAAATGCTACTTCTCCTGTGGACCACAAGGAAGCTGCAAGAAGCCAAGAATCAATTGCTGCTGTTACAATGATTAGCATCACGATTTATAGGGGGGGCAAAGCCAACCAGCAGTGGTGTAACCAGCAATCACACTACAAGAGAAAACTAAGCTGATATATGTGCGAAACACAAGCAAGCCACACAAGGGCATTAATAACTAAATATTTGTGCTCCAAATTTTCAAGCTAGCATTCACTGGTGACGGCTATCTCATGATATCCTGAACGCACCACCACCTTCTACCAGTAGTCGAGAACACCTCTACAAGTCTTTTCTCCAGTACAGACTCATAAACTGTACATTACTCGGTAAATATGAAGGCATTTGCCTCACCTTCCTATTACTTCCTGCAAAAGCTTTTCTGCTGAGCTTTGTTTCCAGGATGGGTCTTTGCTGCCTTCCTATTTCCTCTGCACCACTCAAAAGGCTGCAGTTTAAAGTGGAAATCCAGAGCGACTGCAATAACTTGCATGGGCAGAAGTGCCTTCCATTTTCGCAAGAGTTACTTTGGATCTAATCTAAACAGACCAGGCAAGCTACCATCCTTACAACCGTTAGCTCATTGCTTTAACTTTCTAAACAACCACACATTGCTTTCCATGTTTTGTTTCTGAACAAAGGAGCACTTTGAGAAACACAAGGATGCAGAAGATCTGGCACTGGTTTGGCAACTGCCGTGTAAGTGTCAGCCTGCAGGACTGATTAACACACAGCGATGCTTCTCTCCGGACTTTTTTCCATCTGCATATGGGAGGAACAATCTTTTGATTGTAAACATGAAAGCAGCTATAACAATTAGGATTTGGAGGGGAAATTATTTTATTGTCATGGTTGCAGATGTACCCTGGCAACCCAGTAAACTGCCTGGATTGCTAATGTGGTAAAACCTTGAACCCAGGTATCAATTAAGGTACATAGAATTAAAGAGTAACCTCTGATTGGAGTGTTCATACAAACTCATGGGGTTGTATCCTGCAGATATTCCACTGAGAGCAGAGGGAGGAAAGGTGATCAAGCCCGATTTCACTCCTCACAGCCGCTCCCAGTGTGCTTGGCTGTTTCTGGCCGCAAGGGTCTCCCTGGCAATACCTTTTCAGGGGTCACAGGAGGAGGTTGAGGACAAAGGCAAAGAAAGATCCATCTTCTATCACAAAACATCTGTAGGATACAACCGGCGGTCACTAGCAAAAGGTAAGTGTGAACTGTGTAATGATATCGTGGAGTAATTACAATCTCATCAAAACCTCTTTGGAAAACCCCCTCCAACTCCTTGGAAAACCGTGTTTCCAAGAGTTCATATTCTTTTTTCTGTCATAAAGGGCCTTCATATATCTGATCTGTTTCACTTTAATTCAGACAAAGCAGTTACTACGCAGACTATGAAAGTAGTTATGACATTTCTCTCTACGCAAAATGGTATAATTCTAGAACTCTATACAAATAATAATCTAGGTATGCAGACACAGACTGCTTCTCCTCCATTGATAAAGAACTGGTGTGAGGGTGCTTTCAAAGCAAAAGATGCCAAGACATGGCAATATGCTACAAAGGCAAGCTCTGCCAAAGGCATGGTATATTGCCTCAGAAAATAATCTGAGTGCAGAAAACAGATTTTTATTCATGCAGATGAACCATCAAAAAATAAAAACCAGGTAAGACTCTGGCTATCCAAGGATTTCAAATCATGCATCATGCTGAGTTTCTAATACCTCCTCATATCAGATTAAAGTGACTTCTGAATGGGGTCTAGATGTGGAGGCAGTATTAGAAGAATTCCCCTCCCCCCATTTCTCTTTGCAGCCTTTACTTTGCCTGGTATGGGTTGAATGACGCTGAAGCACCACTGTAAATAAACAGCAGCTACCAAATGTTCACAATTTGAATTTCATCTATACGCCTATTATTTTAATCCTCTTCCACAACAAACGTTATAATTATATATGCCATAATGTATACACAGTATATTGTTCTAGGTACAGTGAGAATTTACAGGGAGGGACCACAGCACACACCAGTACAGCACATGTTTTGTGCACATCAGGCCCTGGTTTAGGTTATGACATCTTCATTAAAAGTGCTAGAAAAAGTGTGTGCTTCCTAAGAACTTGGAGAGGCAAGCCGGCAAGAGTAGACCATGCTGGCTTAAATGGTCCAGTGGTCTAATTCAATATACAGAAGTTTCATATGATGAGTGCTCTTTGTTATATATTGATTTCAGGACACATTTTGGTACACAGTTTGCCTAGCATGTGCAAGCTGTAAACTATCATGGTCCCCTTTGCTGTTATTTGATCATTAATGAGGCCTGTGAAAATGCAGTACTCTCAAACAGTACAATTGTAAGCAGAGGTGGACCCTTCTAAGCCCACTGATTTCAGTGAAGGGTGTAGCTGTGCTTCAGATGGCACTGTTTGGAATCTTTCAGACTCAGAAGGTGGAGTCTTTTATACTATGTACGCTGCTTTGAATTCCAGTATTAAAAAACACCATCTTAACAGATGGAAATGAAAAAAAGAAGAGAAAGACACAAAGTAGTCACCAAAGGCTGGTACTAGAATTCAAAAATGCTTTTCTTATCCTTACTTGGTCTCAGAATTTCCCACCATTCCCTTTTGCTGGGACATTTTTTTTGCTTCCGAAAAGGGTTAACTATAAATAACTTTACTGACTGCAGGTTCCTTCTTTTCACATCTGACTAATTCTTTTGTCCACTCCAGGAAGAGAGAAGCGTTTAATAAAGCTAACTTGTTTAAAGCCACTGTGGGCTCACACAGCACCCAACCATTTGCTCTGTGGCTACCTTTGAAGCATGTCCAAATGAAAGTGTTATATCCTCCAGCTGTAATTATGCAACTAGTTTCTCATGTTTCAAACGACTGGGGGGAGAGTGGGAAGCAGAGGCATTTCAGTACGTCATAAAATGCAATGAACGGCAGTAAGATTTCTGCTGGAGTGTTATACTTGCTTAGTTGTCATGTTAACAAGTTTGTGATAAAGTTTAAGGCTTGATCTATTCCAATATACCAGCATGGTTAAAAACAATTTACTTTATGGCTGGGAAGTCAATTTTGCAAAGGAAAAGAAACATATCCCTGTAAAAAGGTGCAAAATGGAAATCTGAGTGCATAGACAATAACTACCTACTATGGCACCAGTAGTTTGCACTGAATGCTGGCATATCATTTTATCTAGCTAACATTATAAGTTGTTGCAGATTTTCTGGGCTGTATGGATGTGGTCTTGGCATTGCTGGACCTGACATTTTGCCAGCAGCTGTGACTGACATCCTCAGAGGTATAACACAGAGGGATGGAGTACTCTCTGTATCAAGGTGAGAAGAAAAATGGTAGGCAGGTAATTTATATCTACTCAGGAAGGTGGCGTAGGGCTGAGTCATTATCTTGTAGGAGTTCCCCAGACTATGACATCCTGGAAAATCCTTTAAATCCTTGAGAGGGGAGGGAGAGGGGCTACCGCTGGCCACACACCTGAACTCCAAGTGGTGAGTTTGCCACTTGGAATTCATGTGTGGGTGGGCCCCGCTCACAAGAAAACATTTAAAGGAAAACTTCCCTTTAATTTGTCACCTGGAGTTTAGGCGCGGGTGGGCAGTCAATCCCCGCTTGTAAAAAAACCATTTAAAGGGAAGCTTTTCTTTAAATGGTTTCATGTGAGCAGGCGCCATGTCCCCAATGTGATGACATTACTTATGCATGACATCATCATATTGGGGAGTCCCCACTCCCTCCTGGAATGCCCCTTAAAGTTCCCCACTGATGAGAGGTAAGGACCTGGTTACCCTAATCCAGGGGTATGCCTCTTAGCTCACCATGTCCTGGCCTCAATTCTCAAGGCTATTTTTAGTAGTGGTCGCTGGCCCTGTAATTGGAGCCAGAACCAATTCTTGAAGTATATTTTTAACCTGCTCCAAACCATCCATGTTTGTGCAGCAGCTTTAATTTCCCCCCACCGTGGCTTTACACAGATCGTATCTCCCCCTAGAACTATCTTTTGGGATTATTTTCTACCTGGACATTCAGGCCCCTACCTAAACTTGTATACGTTGGCTGTTATGACCAGCTCTACCTTCCCTTTTACACTTCACTCTGTTGGCCTCTTGTCTTCCTTCTTGAGTGGAATATCTGCACAGTTTATGTGTGCGTGTGTGTATGGGTTATTGTATGGGTTATTGGGTTATTTGGCTCTTAAGGTGGACATTCTAGTACTGCATATTATTACTGTATGCCCGATTTTAATTTTTATTGTCTCAGTCTGTCACTTCTCCAGACCAGCTGCTTGCTATCTCCCTATCCACTCAGCCCAAGCTCTCCCAACACAATTTTGAATCCTATCCCACAATAAACGTCTCTTGAGAGAAGGATGTAGATACGCTAATTAAATCAACAAAGGGCTCATAGTATGATAATAAACAAATCACTTGTCCCTGGGTAGCTGATAGGAGAAACCATGTATCTACAGTGTAAGACTTCTATGCACGACTACTTAAAAACCAACAACTGTATTTTACGTGTAGCACACATTTAGTGTCTATGTTATTTTAATTTTTTTAGGCCACTATATAGCCTATACATTCAAACCTACATGAATTGCGAACACATCCATGTGGCCCATACCCTTTGGGGTATGGAAGTATTACTATTCAATTATTCAGTGTGACATCACCAAGCCCCACCCATGATATCATCATGCCCCGTCCAAACAGGGTTTAGTATAGTGAGGATCTGGCAGCCCTACCCTCTCCCACGCACACTAGTGTAATAATGCCTCCCCATAATAAAAGCTCTGGCTATCGGTTTATTGTTTTCAATAATTCTTCTCATAATCTTAAAAAAAGAAAGCTTCAAGGATTCCCTATGTGCATCATTTAAGTACTTTTGCGACACAAAACCCAGATGCCTTCCACCTGAAAAATTTCACATCCCAGAAACTCCCCCAATATAAGGAACTATCAAACCCTTAACATTGTCATGCAAAAGCACAAACGTATTTGTGACTAAAAATTGCCTCAAGTGGAATCCATTGAAACAGTGCTAAAAGTGTGTCATGTCACTCTACTTTGGGAATGCTAATTAATACTGCACAAACAATCCCTATAAAAGCTAAACACATTCAAATGTTTTGAAGTAAATGGCAAAAGACAATGTTCGAATTAATTATTAATTAAAAATGAATGTTGCCATCTTTAAAGATTTTTTTTCAAAGCACAATGCGCACTGATTTAAAATGCTGAAATATCAAAGTTTTAAGAGCCTCAGATTTCCTGTCTCCTCTACCCCCTGCTCAACATATTATGCAGGTGGGAAACTTTTTTTTAAAGCATTAAATGCTAATTACCGTCACAACTAATTATTAGGGTGGCGTTAGGTTAATGTTTTCCTACCTTTTGATTTAGACCTACTTTTGTCAATGCCTTATTCATACTGCTTTGAAGTAGAAGGGCTACAAATTAATTCTTTCAACCAGTTTATTAATTGGCTATGTGATCTTTTGGCAATAGGACCAATAATTTCATGGTCACGCTTTAAGATACAGCTTGCCTCAGTCATTCATAGTACCTTTCAAAATGTAGCAAAGGATTTTGAATAAAAATGGGTCAGCTCCTGCTTTTCTTTGAAACGACAGCTAACCAATATGTAATTTCTGGACCTCAGGCACTACAATGAATTGCTGGCATCACCACACTCTCCTTGTACCACATATGGGATGATACTTATTCCATACATCTGAAAGTTTCCACTGAACAGGTGAAAGTAGATAACCAACACAGGATTTTGCCTCATATAAATATCAGCATTCTTGTAAAAACAAAACTATATGGATCATACAGCTAGGCACAGCTTGGAAGTATGCGTCTAAACTTGAAGACACCTAAACTAAATAAGGGGTTGGATTCAGCCAGATTTTTCATTCAATCCTGCCCAATTTCTCTCCTGATCACAGCCCTGATCCAATACTAATTTTATCCATAAAGGTCCTGTGATCCTCAGAATAGCATTTGGGGGGGGGATGTCAAAGGGGTCCCCCCATCAGTCCTTTTTCACCAGCTGAAACACTGCCTGAACCTAACCCATTGTACTCCACAGTCTAGTCACTCTTGCCATTGCCATAAAAAATGAGTGTTGTGTTGTTATTTTAGGTCCACCAAACTCAGCGTTCAGTTTCCAACAGTGGCTAATCATATAGCTTTGGAAGCCTATAAACAATACAATATTTTGAGGGCCATCCTGAGTGTGGTGTGATCCCAGCTCAAAGAGAGGCTAGGGTGTCTTTGAATGAACAGGCTGCGTTTTAGCTGTCATGTCCAATAGCCACTGACAGATCATTCAAAGTATGTGAGGATTTGATTTTAAATAGTAATATTTTTTAAAAAAACAACAATGTAATGATTATCTTTGACAAAGAAATGTACTTGCTTACTACCATTTGTGTAGTGCTGTGGTCTTGGAATTAAATGGCAAGCTAGTTGGCCATTTTATATCTAGGTTTATAGGTCAAGCAAATTGAACTGACTGGTGTTTACTGGTTTCTTTTTGAAATATGAAAGCCGGTAAATGGCCCTTCTACTTCTAATCAACAGAAACATTTCTGAAATATAGAGCTTCAGAATGATTGTTCAGCACTGGGACTAAAAATTAAACTTTTGCAGGTGGAGTGAGGGGAGACAGAAGAGCAAAATTTAAACAAATTGCAACATTCCTTTTTACTTACATTGCTTGCATAGGAGAACGTCCTGGACTGCTGTCACTCCCATTACTGTTCGCATGCTCCATTGCACCATTAAGCTCTTCCTTCATAGCACTGGCTAAACTGCCCAGAGTGGGGTTTCCCATGGAAGCAGTAGTGTACAGAGGTATACTGTTCTCAGCCATTGAAGCCTGTCGAGTCAAGGAACAAGACATGAGGAGTCATAGCAACAGACATTCATGCATGTGCCACAAACTAGTTCCAAGGTACTCTCATTCTGTTTACACTAGGTTTGCATTAAAGATAATGAATAAAAAATCCACATCATCAGTTTCATCACTGGCTGTAATGTGGCTAAGACTTCAGCCAGCTCTGTTTTTCTCACACAAGTTTTACTTACACTACACCAAAGAAAACCACACCTCAGGGGAGAATGCAAATTATGGGAAGCCAAAAGGGACTGCATGATGGTGTGTGTGTGAAGTCCTGGACCTTCTTCTCAGTGTGCAAGTCACATTACTTTGTTTTTGATCTTTGCACACACCAATTAATTATGCAGCGATCCAGTGTACGGTGCTGTTAAACTTCAGCCAAGTAGGCCTCGGCTTAAGGGTCAGTGTATACATTATTGTTGCCATAGGGATGCCACTGAAAATGGCCTTCTCATCATAGCTCATCCTTAGTCAGCCTCAAATGTTTATAAGAATTTGCTACTCTGGGGATGGTCTTCACACTATGAGGCTGAAGGATTTAAAGGATTTTAAGAAAAGGTTGGCTAAACTGTATTAGTAAGATTATTATATGCTTTACACGGGGCTCTTAATGCTAGTGGACATGAAGCAATAACTGTGTGCAGTGGCATACCACATTAAGTGGGAAAGATTTTTTCTCCTCTCAGTAAAAAAGAGGGAAGTGTTCTGGAGATCAGGGGCAAAATGGATAAACATCAGCCTCCATGTGGGGGTAAGGAATGGATTTCCCCACCCACCCTGTTTATCTATTGCAGTCCCCTCACTTGGGTTAGAGGGTAAGGATATCTTCCCACAGAGATTCATATTTACATTTTTATGGTCAGAAGGTCAGATTACCCAGTGGAACCCGAATATATTTTTGCTATGCTTGTAGCTAAGGTGGCCAGGTTGTTCTCTCTGGCCTTGGTTCCTTGCCACTGCTCAACAGGATGGCTGAGGGAAAATGGGTGGGTGGGGGGCCTGAAACAACATTGTTCTAGGATTTCGTCAAAACTCTATACCAAAACCCACAGATTTTGGGGGGAATCTCCTGCCTACTTGTAGCATATGGCTTGCTTCTTTGAACACATTATATGTATTTATTTAACCTTTTATATCTTAATTCTCACCCAATAAGGTTCTCAAAAATTAATAACAAAATCAGAAGTTACAGTAAAATAAAGGAAGTTTTAAAAATTATTATAAAAACAGCAAAATCTTAAAACTCCAAAATCTTCAAAGTTCCCTAAAAAAAGTACAATAAAATCAATTCACCTAAAAGTTAGGGGAGGAGAGACAAATGTTTAATTAAATAGCTTGGTTTGTATTATTGTCTGTGTGCATGTCCTATACGGTTAGCCTTAATATAGGCAGAATACCCAGAATACACTTCCTAGAATATATAAAGTAACTCATACTCATTGTTGTTTGTGTTCACTCTCAAGTAAGTTTTGTATATATGTGGTGGAAGTGTACCACAGCAAAGACATTCTGGAGAATGGTTAGTACACAGATATCACAAGGCATTAATTACAATGTAGAATTTACTCCAGAATAAACTCCAGACTTAGGGGTCTTTCACATTACCTTAAAAATCCACTTGTACTGCCTGATGTAAACATGTTTTTTTCTAGTGTTCACACAACTACGTAAATATCCCAACTATCTCATATCTGGTGTGGGTGCTTTTTTAAAATTTGCATCTCAATAGCGAAACGTTTCAGTGATCGAAGGTCTCTCTCTCAGTCTGGTCTGGTCTCCTCTCTCTGTATAGAACTACTGCAGTGTTTTTGACACATCAGCTCCCAGTTTATCTGCCTCTGTTGTAAACCAGATGTGTTGTTGAACCCCTGGAGGAGTATCCACTGTTCGTGCACTCATACACACACACGTTCTGTGTTGTGCTATTTTTAACAGATGGTTGAAGTACATTTAAAGGTACAGCATATGTTCTGCGATCGCAAATTTAGAAATAAATCCCCCAAACAAGAGAAATCTTTGCTGCGTCTCTTAATCAACCACATCTCTCAATCCAGGTGCTTTCATCAGGACTCCGGAAGGAGCCCCCCCCCGGTGAAGCTTGGTTTTCAGTCCCCTCCCAGGAGACCATGAGAAGGGTGGCCATCTTAAACAAAGTTCTTGCTCCTTAATTCTGCAGACAGGTGCGCGTGCACATACAACCTCTGCTGGAGAAGTCTGCCCATTCCCCAATTTACTAGGGGAACATTTGTTTGCCCTGCAATACTAAAGCCAATGGTGCAAATAAATTATCTCATCAGAGTGAACAAGGTTGCTGAAATACTCAGATGCTTCAATGGATGTGCAAAAAAAGAAAGAAAAAAAGACACACCCATCCACAACCCAGAGCAGATGGAACTCCTGAGGTGAAGTCTGAACTGATCCCATTGATAGCATGATCATCAGAAGAGGCACAACACGTGTGAAAACGTGAAAGGCAGCTGCAGTCTGAAAAAACCCTTAATTACGTAGCATCTACTCCTGCAAACCCATAGCATGGCTGTACTGCATGCAGTGTCTGCGGCTAGATTATTACTTACTAAGGCATGGAAGCAAAAGATCCCTCCGAAGGAAGGTTTACCCAAAAAATTTAAGGGGTTTCATGCCTTAATGTGACCCATAGCTCTGCAAAAGAACACTCATATTAAGAGACTGTATGGCGTATGGAATTAGCTGTAGTAACAGAGCAAATCTCTTCTTCTTTATACCATGAGCAGGACGTTTTTGTTGAAAGTTATATGGCACGGTATAGTCTGATCTTGTCAGATCTTGGAAGCAGGGCCAGTACTTGGATGAGAGACCCGCAAGGAAGTCCAGGGTTGCTATGCAGAGGCAGGTAATGGCAAACTACCTCTGCTTTTCACTTGCCTTAAAAGCCCCTTGCCGGGTGAGGGCAGGTTACCATAAGTCAGTTGCAACTTGGCAGCGCATGCATACACAAGCATACAATAAAAATTTAAAAGATATAATAAAAACAGAAAGCAGAAATATCTTAATCAAATGGTACCCTAGCATATTCACAGCAATACTGAAAATGGATAATATACAGAGTGGGAAGAAATGCATACAAACTTCAATCAAAACAGTTAAAAGATTCAGTGTCAGGAGGATGGATCTGGGTTAGATGACTGCATAGACAGAACACCACAGCTGAGAAGGTAGGGGAAACGAAGCCACAGAAAAAAATTTTCCTGGAGAAGCTGAGAATAAGCTTGCTAAATAAATAAAACGATCTGAGGCTTGAATTCAGGACCTTTAGAATATGAATATGAGGTTTTGCCTAATGCATTCAGAAGGCTTAAAGAAATGGGACTAGTTTTAACCAAACTGTTCAATGCTTCAGGTACCTCCTGCATAGAACTCCGATCCATTTTCTATTTATTTCATTCTATGAGCCTCTTCACATTCATTCTCATAGGTAGCAGAGGAGTCAGCCTTTGTGGGAACATACATCTGGGGCAAATAACCTATACAGGGTTAACTGTGAGTCAATGCAAGAAGGATTTTGGTTCAGGGCAACTGGCAGATGTTCAGTTTGCTCATACTGTATGTCATTCATAGCAACTGAGTTATGGTTACACTTTTGTGTCACCATTTACAGCTCTGATGTTTTAGATAAACCAGATCTTGACAACATTAATTTCTATGTTCCCATTTTCATTTGCAAAAACTGCTTTGACATAATTTGCATTTAATTATGCAGGGCTTGCACTAACCCTCACTAGTTCCAATACAGAAAGAGCACTTGGTGGAGCTTTTCATTTGTACCCTAACTAAGGTTTCATTCTTGCTAGTCACCTGACAAAAGTCATAGGGCCAAACTAGATGTTACGGGAGCTATAAGTCCAACCTGTGGCTGCCAATGTCATTTTAGAGAAGAGTTTAGCCATTTAAAAATGCTGCAAGGTGCAGCAGGACCAGGTGATCTTGTTTCCCCACCGGTGCCTTTTCAAGTGCCAAAGCAGTGCCCACCGTACCCATAGTCTCCCCTTAGCTCAACAGATACAGGGTTGGATCCAGACTAAGTTTTCTGCTAACAGAAGGCACTCCCACCAGTGGAAGAGAAATTTCCCGCTTCTCCCCTCCTGCTGCATCTCATTGATCTCCCTAAAATGCTATCCCTGGGGGACAGGGGGACACTCTGAAATGGTATGAGGACAAATCGGGGGTCAGAAGCAGGAATGGGGAACTGGCAGAAATTCCGCCTATACTCAATCCTAAATTCTGCTTTGAAAGCTCTGTCTGAAGTGGTAAGTGCCAGACCAGATCAGCTACGTGCAGGATAAATAACACAAGAACTGGGCCCAAATGGATGCTTTTCAGAGGAAGGCAATAAACTGGTAAATCACTTCCTTGCACTTGCATAATTGAGATTAAGTGGTTCTTTTTTTTTTTTTTTTACACAGCACATGTATTGTGCCAGGTTCTTTACAATCCTCATTTCATTCATCCTTATGACAATCCTGCAAGGCAAGTCAATTTTATTCCCACAACTTCAAGCCATGAGGCTGAAAGTAAGTAACTGGCTATGTGCCACCTAAAAGTGGGGTAAGAATGAAAGTCTGCCAGGTTCAAGTCCCAATACACCAGACAGAGTTGTTTGCATTTATGATACAGATCAGATCTTGATCATCTTGACAAACCTGCCTTCTGAACACCAACTAAGAGGCAGTACTGGGATCCAGCCCCAATCCTGCAGTGGAATTTCCTCTCCCTATGCAATGTATGGATGGTAGCATTGCCACAGTGTGAATGGCTGCCAAAGCCATTTGGAATGTTGTTCTTCTGAGAAATCACAGAAAAGTGAATTGTAGTGCTGTACAGACAAGTCCACAAGACAAAAGAAAGAAAGAAGAAGAAGAAGAAGAACAAAAGGTGAAAAGTAGGTAGGGCAGCCTTCCAGAGCTGGCATTCACTATATTTGTTGTGGGATTTAAAGGGAT